GGCATAGCCAGCACATCACAGGCCTCACTTGTGACCTGTGGAGGGTGATGCCCCTCCTCCACTAGGGGCCCTAGGAAGAGGAAATTCACTCAGCTTCAGCCCACGGTGTGAGGTCAGACACAGGAGGGCCCCTCCAGTTCCATCTGGCAAATTCTTCAAAACATTTGCCCATTTTAGACCGAGTGCAGTGACTCACACCTGTCACCCCAGCACTTTGAGAGGATTGCTTGAGCCCAGGAGTTCAGGACCCATCTAGGCAACATAGCAAGACCTCATCTCCACCAAAAAAAAAAAATCAAGAAATTAGCTGGGCCTGGTGGCAATGTACCTATAGTCCCAGCTACTCTGGAGGCTGAGGCAGAAGGATCACCTGAGCCTGGGAGGTCAAGGGAGTGGTGGGTCATGAACTTGCCACTGCGCTCTAGCCTGGGCAACACAGTGAGACCCTAACTCAAAAAAAAAAAAAAAACTTTGCTCATTTTCATTGAAACAATACATGCCCGCAGTTTTAAAAAATTCAAAAGGCGCAATACAGTAAGTGAAAAGCATGTCTCCCTCCCTCCCCAGTGCCATGCACAGAGGCAACGGTTAGATTTCTTCCATAGTCTCCTAGGAAGCTCTACGCATAGACAGACACATATTTGCACATGTAAATATTTAACTATAACGGATTTGATCCAGGCGTCTCAACCCCTTGAGGTACAAACATGACTTTTATTTTTCCAATAACTGCTGGGAAATTCATTTTGCCGACACTGTCTCTCCCGCCGGATAGCAGGCTCCCTTCCCAGCCTCTCCCACCCTCGCCGTCATGGAGACGGCCTCATTTTGCTGCTAAGGCTCAACTCAGCCGTCTTAACCCTCAACGCCGTTTAAGTCACTCCCTCTCCCCCAACCCCCACCCTGCAGGCCGCACTGCAGCAGGATGCATCCCTCCCTCCTGGGAAAAGCTGCCATGGAGCTGACTCTGTCGCTCCCTGCAAGCCCACAACAGACACTTTGCACCCAGGCCAGGCCCCAGAGAATTCAGTGACCATTCATTCTCACAAAGTGCTGTTTCTGCCACGATCCCTTCCCTGCACAGAACAGTCCAGAGACAGGAGGAGCTCGAGACGAGGAACTTCCGAGGCTCAGTTTTTCAAAGTGCAAATTGGGTAGGGGAGGAGGGTTTCACACTCCCGTTCAATGACGCATTCAGCCATTGCCTCGGTCACCTCCTAGGTACCAGGACTGGGGCCCTCCACACACCCTGGGAGCCCACAGTCAAAGCGGAGACAGGGTTACAAGTGGGTAGGGGCTGTGGAAGCTCAGAGAGGTCCCAACCGAGCCTGGGGGGGGCCAGAAGGACTTTCAGAAAGAGACAATACCTTCCAACACAAGACCATATCTTCCAAGAGTGATGTTTCCTTGAGACATTGCTTCTCAGTTGTGCTTTTCATGGGAGGCGCCTTTAGGAAAGGTGTACAGCAACTTTCTTTTATGAAA